CGACGACGTCGTCGTCAATGAAGAGAAGATGATGAGATGACGATGTGACGTCACCCAATGAGGCTGACCGTCAGCAATGAGCCATCGAAAAAGTCAATAGAGAGATTGATGATTCCAAAGATTGGAAGAACACAGCAGCATCGTGCCCAAAAACCTGATTATACAGTATCATTTTATGAGAAGGAAATACTCCAAGAATTCCAGCCATTCCACACAAAAAATGCTTATTGATTAACACAGATATTTCAGCAAAAGGGCTACCACAAAGCACTTTTGAGACCTCAACACGAGCAGTTCCGCGAAGGATGCACCCTCGCGGAAATGGCATTTAAGAAAGCCAAGGCACTTCTTGCCATTGGGGATTTCCACTTTAGTACGAGCTGGTTCAAGTAGCATACTCCCCCCCCTTGCGGTCCTATACCACCCCCCCCACTTCCCCGGTCCCTATTCCAGCTACCACCTTCCTAAATTTCCCAACTTTGCGATTTCCCGGGTTTTTTTTCAACAATTTTCCCCAAAAAGTTGCCGTCGAGCCCGGGAGGAGGAGGGAAGAATCCAACCCTCTTCACCTATTCTTGTGAGCTGCATCGTCAGGACAGCAGCTAACCAAGAAGGGTAGCGTAGAGTCCCTGGGGCTCCAAGAAGCTTTCTGATTGATCTCTTGACCGGATGATCAACCGATAATTTCCATATTATGGATGATGGAGATGTTTTATGCAATCGAAATATTTTATGCTGAATCAAATAGCTCTGATCTCTCTGATCCTGAATAAAAAAAAGGTGGAGCGAAGCACTTAAGAGATCAAAGGGCCACACAAGGGTACGTGCCCCTTCCTAGGAATCACCGGTTTGGGGGTGGGGGCGTAATCAATGGGATCCAGTCGAAGAGTAGGTTTTGGGCAGAAAAATGCTATAATAAAATTGATAAAAGTAAGGGTTAAGCAGAAAATAGACTGACTTTGATGTTTCGGGTCGATGCACGGCAAGCAATCGTTCGACGGCCGTCTCGGCGATTTTGTGCTCCTGCAAGAGGTGGAAGTGTAGGAGTGTGTGCGATGGTTTAAACGTGGCGCATCGTCTCGGAGATTTGGTTGAAGCGCCAGGAAAAACTACCCTACAGCCCATTATCGAGAAACGCACCTGAATCAGGTGTTCGGTGAGTTTCAGTGTTCGATCTGAACACAACGGACACTGCTCTCCTTCTTCATGCGTACGCGCATGCTCTTCCAACATCGACGCGTCTTCTAAAAAAGAATATTCACCTAATTGATGACGTCACTTCGTCTGATCACTATGTGAAACGTAATGATTCTGAAATCATTTTTATTACTCGTTCAGGAATACTTGATGAAAAACTATAAAACTGAATATTAAAATAAAAAATGGCGATTTTAGCACCGCTTACATCATCGTTAGGCGAAGGGAGGAGGGAGAAGAAAGGGGGAGGAGGGGGCGTATCTGGCTGCTGGAGGACAGGATTTTGGGAAAAATTGGAAGATGATGGGGCACTGGTTAAGGATGGTGATACTCAGAGCATGTCGTACTTCAGGCATACCCAACGAAGGGAGTTACTTGGGCGCTGGAGAGAGGGAGGGAGGGGTCGTATTTGCCTCCCAAAAATGTTTTCGGTTGCTGACTTTTCTCCGAGGATTACAGCAGAAAAGGAAGTTGGAGAGGGGACCGTATTTGCGCGGCAGGGGCGGCTCATATTCATCTACGGGATAGATGCAGCCTGTCTTCTGACGGGAATCCCTCATCCCTTCAGAAATCAGAATAAAAAATCCCCAAAGATGCTGAGCCCCGCTCCGTCTCCACCATCCCCGCTTCCCCCAAGGCTGAGACATTTCTCACGTATGATATTGGCCGTATGTTGTCGCACGTAACACTAATATAATAAGCTTGGAGGGGACATTTTTTTAACCAAACAATTTCCAAAAAACCTTAAGATTTCATCTTTTGGGAAGCATTATTCTTCCGTATTTCTGGAATTATGTGGCAAGATTTGATACGTGAATAACTTGTTATTAATAACGAAATCGCGTAATTTTGGGCGTATTTCATGCACATATGTATGTACATGTTCCAAAGTGCTTATATTGAAGTGCTTCGGCTTGGAGGGGCATTTTGCACTTTCGCTAGTTCCTCTTGTTAGTACATGTTACTTCGAAAGTCAACACCACTTGTAAACCCTTGGGAAGCTACGAAAGGTACGAGTAAGTCATTTTATTACAACAATCCACAGGTCTTCATAAGAAGGCTTGTACAAGCCTCACTGGGTACTTTATGCCCTCACCAGGCCGAATTGCGCTTAGATGGATCTAAATGTATAAAAATAAAAAAGGACCTCTAAACAAAACCAAGACGGTAATGTATAGTGGTCAAGAGCGCTTAGAATGGTGAGACAACGAATCGCTTATTCATATTGCCGTTCGTAATTGTGAATCGATCGATATTATTTTATTGACGGATCGATAAAATACCATGAAACCGAACAGTAAACGAAGCTGTAAGAGTAGGTACAGGTTCAGACATAATAAGGAAAACAATCGCCACTCGTCAAATTATTGGTATCGTTAAGATCAGTCACTAATCATTTTCCAGAGATAAATTGCAGAAACATAAATTTCTTAGGCGAAATTCTCGGTTTCACTGAGAATTGAAATTTCGAAGCCTCATCATTTTACGGGCTCACTGGTCTGAACGTAGAATTGGGGAAATTTCATAATCCCCCTATTCCCCCCGCGATACATCAAAAACCATCCAAGGGCAGGTCTAATTAGAGACAGTCTGTACGACGAAAGTGATAAAGTGGTAATGTCTCTAATCACACCGCGCCAATAACGTTTAAGGTGTCAATTTATCAGAGTGGAGACGGCAAGATCAAACAAGTACCGCCGCTGTCTGACTAGCTGGCACTTCTGGTAGGCGTGGTCGGGTCGTAAGGGCTCCAGCAGGCAGCTCTCTTCATCAACTATTATTAAAGGGTCAAACTGGCTCCAAAAGTTCTTTCACTGTCGGTTAGGGAAGCTCCATGGCTACGAGAGCAGCCTACCATGGAGGGGGGGGGGCAAGGAGGCCAGGGAAACTCGGACCGGAAACGGGCATTTCTTAGGGAAAAGTCACAGGGGGAGCCTTCCCTGGAAGGACCAAAAATCCCGCGTAAACGTGTCTGATCAACTGAATTCCCTATTTGGGAAGCCCTCGTACCCATGACCTTCTCAATGTGTTTAACTCCAAAAGGAAGCCCTGCCGGGAATGGAATACTCCAGAAAAGAAAACTTTTGGATACGCAAGTGAGCAAAACAGAACGTTCCCTAAATAGACACCCTTTGAATAGGAAATTCCTTTGATAAAAAATCAGAAAACTTCCCGATTCATCTGTTATCTTTTTCTGCAAAGCTAATTGGTTCTACTTCAAATTATTAATTGCAGACCGATTTTCAAGAGTGTTTCCAGATTCCAGAGTAAACACAGTACCTCTACCATCCGTAGCCCCACCTTACCAACTCATTGCTGAGGAGTTAGCGAGGTACGGAAGGAGCTTGGTTGTTAAAAGGGGTCGCAACCTAAATAGTACTCCTGTGGTCGTGATGAACTGTCCTATCCGTATCATTTTTCGGACAGCCCCGGGAAGGGCGGGGGGGGGGGACATTTTGCACTTTCCTGCTCAACTAGTTACGGTTTGCTATCTTACTCTGGTGAAACCTGTGAGCACCTGTGAGGCTGGATTAAGTTCGTCAAGCCAACGTGGTAGAACCAGTCAATTCTTGTAGACTCATGAAATATCTCTCTAGATGGTTGGATACGTCTATGGTGAGTAGCAAACGAGTCAAATGCCCCCCCCCCCTGTCGCCGTCATTTTCCCCAGCATTCAGTGATGACTTGTGCTACTGCTACCCTGTGCCGGTGTGTCCGGTGCCTCATTAACTAACCCTTTATATCACAAATAAATGCTGCGAGGATATCGCTGCATAATTAGGAATCAACCGGTAATCGTATGGAAATCTCTTCATTACTGGGTGGACTTCCCTATCAAGCGTCATATTGGGAAATGGATGCATGGCTCCTTCCAGAAGGTACTGACCAGCTGACCCCGACTAGGAATCTCTTAAACCGGTCAGTAGTGTTGAACTTGTTTTTACCGACATCAGTACCTTTGGTCAGTGTTTCCAGTCTGGTTTTCCTCGTGGGTAGGCTAAAACTTTTCCAAGTAACTCAAT